ACTCTTTCCTGCTTATGCAGGGGGTCGGACTCGATGATCTATTGAGGTCCCTTCCGACCCTAACATCTATGAATCTATGAAGCCGGACCAGGCAACACACAACAATTGCACACCCCCACCTGTCAGTCGGGGCTTGCAGCTGGGTCCAGCCCCCCAGTAATACCTGCAGCTGGGCAGACTGGGACAGGAAAGGCTGGCATGGGGGACCTGGTGGTCAGGACTTTGGGCACACTGGGTGTGAGCTACCGTGCACTCAAGTCCCAGCCTCACGGACAGGCTACAGCTCACTGACACCTCCTGCAGCGCTCTCCGTGAGCCAGTCTCAGCGGACAGTCCTCATCGAAATTATGGCTGTAGCACAGGGATCAAAGACTCCCTTCTGTCGAGCCCGGGAATAATGCAGAGGGATTTTATAGCACCTCTCACACGAGCTGTCTCCCACGGCATCCTCTGCTGTTCAACAACCTGCTGCCTTGATGGGAAGAAATGCACAGGCTGGGCAGGCAGGAGAGAGGTTCTCAGTGGAGATTTCCAGAGGTGGCCGATGCAGACGGGAAGGGAACAGCCTCTACTCTCCGCTTTCCCATGCAAATCTCCCCTCCTCCCATGCACACCCCCTGTGCGACGATTCAGAGCCAGCACACAAGCAGCCGACACCTACTCTAGTCTCCTCCAACCTGCCACCGGGTCCCCAGAACATGATGAACCCTTTGCTCGCTGTCACCTGGAGCAGGGGCACACACGTGTCGCACAATATAGCACACGAGAGGGACCGCAAGTTAAACGACTGACCGACAGACCTCTGCTGCCCTATGCAAAGCACGGAGGAGAGATCAGACACGGGACTGTGAAGCTATCTAGTCTTTGAACAGCCCGGGCCCTGCAACCCACTACCCCACCCACCTCGTGACACACAGTTCGTCTAGTCGGAGGCTAGGAAGCAGTGCCAGGTTGTTCCCTACAGCGTGTCCTTATCCAGGCTCTGGCTAAACGAACCCAGTTAATGGGGCTTCTCCGGCTCTCGCTGGGAGACTTGACGATGGTTGAACGCACTTCAGACACCAGAGGGGCTGATCTGTTTGAAGCCACTTCATGCTGGGGTTAGATCAGGCTGCAGCTCCAGCAAGACACAGGCACCGTGGCTTCCCCAGTAGGGCTGTCAACTCCTAAGGCCCCATCCCCTGGAAAAAATGCCCCACAGCAATAAAGCCAAGAGCTGCATCAAATGATGAATGAGTTGGACAGAGAGAGCGAGCGGGGCTGACGGCACGTGACAGCCAGCGGTGCTCTCTGTCCAGTGCTTCCCAGGAAGGCCACGAAAACGACTGTCCTCGGCAGCAGCTTGCAGCGGAGCGGGGGGCGGATACTGGACCAACTACCAGAGCCGACCTCATAGCAGGTAAAACATCCGCTGCAGAGACGTCCTTTTGCCCCCCAGCAAAACGCAAGCACCGTCTGGGAGGAGCGCAGCAGATGTTCGACATCCGTGCACCGGACTCTGCTGACAGGAAGCAAAAAAATATCCCACTGAAATGAAGCTGGGTGGGGGGGGACACTGGAGGAAGAGCGAATGCAATGCCTGCTGCTGGAAGGGGGCCAGGGCTCCCTGGTGACATTCCTATGCCTACGCCAAGTGCCATCCTCGCAACCTCCCGAATGGCAAAGGACCATAGCGAGGAGAGAGAGAAGGGAGAGCGTGGCAAGGAGAGACTCCGGCAGCAACGAGGCATTCATTTTTTACCCGTGTGACATCCTCACGCCGTGCTCTCTGGTTACTGGGCCGGTCTGGAGCCTGCCTGTAGCGCTGAGACGCGCTCTCCCAGCAGACAGCACTTGGTGATACCTGCCTTTGCTTCCCATACGTGGTGGGCACAGCAGCATCCTGAAAGCCAGCCTGACCCGTTTCAAACTAGCCAGCTGCTTCCCGTCAGCGACAGTCACGTCTTTGCTTCGTCCAAGCTTGGGCCTTGGACCCCACCAGCTACTTCCACCCCGACCGGAGCGCCTTCGCCCTGCCTCTCCCCACTTCAACGGATGGGGTGCATTCTCCGAGAGCCGCGGGCGGGGGGTTTGCCAGGAGATCCCCACGGAAGGGGGACCTGGCTAAAATGCCCATGAGATGCTGGATGTGAATGAAGCTGTTTCCAGCCGTGTCCAGCCACCACTGGGACTTTCACTCCCCGTCGTACTGCTGCCACCAACTGTGGCTTCTCAG